TTTACAAATTTAAAAATTAAATTAAAATTATTAAAATTAGGTATGGTTACAAATTTCACAAAATTGTGAAAAAAAGAAGTTAGTTATTTAGAAGTTATTGATTAGATGAATCAATTTTTTTTACTTTTAGTTCCTTTCATAAACAAACGTCAAATGTACATATTTATTTAGAGGATAATAAAACAGGTAAAAATTTAAAATTAAAATTTAGAATGATATAATATAAGTTATGTTATTTAAAATCTTAAAAATAAAATTTATATTATTTAATAATTAAATTTTTTATTTTTTAAAAATTTATAATATTATATATATTAATTAATTTAATAACTAATATAATTACGTTTTACTGAAATATCTCACAAAATTGATCATGAAATAAAAATGGTTAGGATAGGACTATGTTTTGTTTTATTGTATATAACCTTATAATTATTATCATGACACAATTATAAGAGCTTATTTAAATACAGGTGAAGAGTGTGATAATTATATTTTTTATATTAATTATTATTAAAAATATATAAAAATTATCATTAATTTCATTATTAGTATTTTATATATTATTTTAATTAAATTATTATTTAAATAAAGATTAATTTTTATTTTTTTAATATTAATTAATATAAAAAATATAATAATTAAACCTTTAACAATACAAGTTAAGAAAATCTTTTTAATAATTATGTTTTTAAAGAGTTATAAGTGATATTACATTAGGTATATTATTTTATAATCTAAACCATAAAATAAAATTTTTTTGATAAAGCGAGAGCCCTCTGATATTAAGAAACTTTCTCAGGGTTAATATCTTATAATCTGAAATAATTCAAATCCTAGAGCATTTTTTGGCATTGTATTTACAAATTCAATTAATGATGTGTTTTTTTATTTATTAATCTTTTGCTATCGAGTAATTATATTAGATTTTGATTAATTTAAAATAAAAAAAAACTCTTTTAGTGTTTGTTTTCCTATTTATAAAAATAAAACTCGAGACGTTATATTAGAGTAACCGAATTCTTTTCACTCGTGTTAACAGATTGTTGCTAATGTTACGTTTTATTATTGTAATTTTATAATTGTACTCAATATTATTTCATATCCAGTCCGGACTATTTATTATCAGTTCCATGGCTGATTTCACCGATGACGCTGACGGCACTGACGACGGGAAGTCTTTTCCCGCCAAGTGGAAAAATCAGAAGCAGAAAAGAAAGAATGAAAAGGTGCCGGAGAAGCAAAATAGCCCCAGAGAGAAGATTTCCGAAGGTCTAATACTCGTCGTCTTCTATCTCTACTCTGGTTCAAGATGGGTGCGAAGAGGAAGATGCCCGCCAAGAGGAAGCGTTCAAATTGTCCTCCCACCTTCCAAACCCTAATTTCTTCAATTCGATCTAAACAGGTACCCACTTTAACCTCTGTTTCCCTTCGTTTTCTCTTGAAATTATTCCTGCGGTTCGCATTAATCTGATTTTCCTCCATTGTTGTTTCCATTTGCAAAATGCAAACTTTTGGAAAATGGACCCAAGTGGGACTGACAATTTCAATGCTTATGAAAAAAGGGGAAAAAAAATTGAAGCGGAAATATAGGGATTGTGATGTTAAAAAGTGTTGAAATTTGGCACTTTTGCTCTCTGATTATCATGGGTGATTAGTGAACTAGTTTGTGATTTAATTTAGTTTGTCTGCTGAATTTGTTGACAATCATGCTTATTTGTTCTTGTTTTAATTGTTTTAATTTTAGGGTCTAAAATCCCAGACAATGAAAGATTTGTATCAACTACTACTGCTGGTGTCTTTAAAGGAAACTACTTGTTGTTCTAACTCTAAAGTTGCTTCGGATTTCTTGAGCATGGAGTTCAAAATCACATATGAAGATGTACATGCTATGTCGGATATATTGTTTGAGAAACTGGATGTGAAGTTCAATGAGTTCTTTTTGGCTTTACATGATGTTTCTCTTAGCCAGGCTAGTGGGCAATCTATTTTCCATTGGGATGTAAATGCTGCCATCGAAGAGATAACCCTTCTTTTGAGATGTTGTATCGTCATTTTCACATTGCTTGGGTTTGACATATGCACAAAGCTCGTTTTTGAGAAAGGTCAAGTTCTTCTTTCAATTCTTAGGAGATTGTTTTCTGTGAAGTTGAGGAGAGGAACTTGGGAAAGTCACAAAGACTTTCAAAAGTCAGTTTCTTATGAACATGTTAATAGTGATGGTGGTTGCACTACTGTTGATGAGGACTTTGTTGCTTCTATAAGTTTCTTGGAACAACCAGATCCATGCCATGCACTTTTATGTGCACTGCTTGAGGTAACTTAAGTTCGTTCTAGTTTGACATTTTCCTCAGGTGTAGCAGAATTGCATATGATGAGCCAAATGCCAAATATTCTTGTTGCATTGTAATTGTAAAATTGAAAATTTTATCGGGTTCACCTTTCACAAATTGCAAGTATAGATTCAACTAGTTTTTTTCATGTTTTAGATAGAGTTAGTTATATGTAAATCGTAAGACCTGATACATAAAACTTGTGAAGAAAAATGAACAAGTAATAGATGCATGGCTAAGTAGCTTATCTATATTCACTTAAAGGAGAGAACTTTGTACTTTTCCCTTCTTCATGGGTTCTCTTAACATTAATGAGTTGTTTAGGTCTTTGCAGATGAGCTTTTGAAGCATAAGTCAGCTAGTCAGTATCTTTTGCGGGTTGATTCTTTTTCCTCCCCAACTGAAATAATGTTCATGAGGGATGTTGGTCATGGTGATGATATTGGTTGTGTGCTTGAAGTGATTTCTGCACATCTTATTCTATCAGTTTCAGATGAACAAGCATTTGAAAGTTTCCTAAGCAAATTATTTTGGCAGCAGAGCAATTATTCTAGAATTCCTGAAATGAGCTTGGATACAGCGTTGTCATTGCTATTTGAGCCCATCATCATGACAGCACCCAAAAATTTTCAGGCATATTTGATTTTACTGGTTTGTGATGTCATTGGTATTAGCAAGCCATCTAAGCATATCATACCAGATGTTAGAAGACTTATGGGATTCTACCTAAAAGCATTTGAAGGCTCTGTTTTCTTGTACAAAAGACAGATGTCCAATTTGGACTTGGATGGCCATCCTATAGTTGGTGACGATTCTTTTGTCAAATCGAGTAACATTGCTAGTAAATTTGAGATGGATTTTGAATCCTATCTTCTTTCAGCCACCAGAAAGAAAATTGACCATCTGATTACCAACTCTAATGAGTTATGGAACTTGTATCTGAGCAATACCTCACGAACAACAAAGTCTGACCTTGTGACTGCCTCCATTGCATACGTGAAGGAGAGCCTAAATGTTTTTGATGAATCCTTTAGAGATCATATTTTATCAATCTTAAGTTGCGTGATACTTTTGGCTTCATCTGATGGCGTTGATGACTTTTTATTGCATAGAAAAGATACAAGTCCTCAAGATATATTTCTTCTTGCTTCTATATTGAAGTTGATGAGTTGTACAATGTTACAAGCTCTTTGGTGTCTAACTAATGGTGGAAATTCAGGCCCATTGAAAACTTTGAAAGAGGTTTCATCACGTAAGGAATATGATACTATGGTGGCTACTTTTGATTGTTTTCAACAGTTTAGTATCTGTCTACCAATCCAAAAGTTCCTGCGTGATATAATGGAAATTCAGCCGATGAGGCATAAGAAGTCCAAGTGGATGCTTTTTCATATTTCGGCCTTGCTGTCACTGAGTTATGTTGCTGGGCTTCCTTTTTTAGTGAAGGACTGCATATTCATGTTGATGATACTGTTGGACTTCTTTCTCTTTGAAGAGGGCAATTTAGATGCACTGGGACCATTGCTGGGTTCTAAATCAAATTCTTCAATGTTTAAGTCTTTTGATAATGTTGGAGAACCTGAATATTTGAATGAAACTGCAGAGGCAAATCCTTTTTCTCTATTTATGATTTTCATACTTTTGTTACTTACTTCCCTTCAGTGCTTTAATGTTATTTTTCTGATTATGGGCCAGGCTGTTGTAGATCGAAAACGTAGCCAAGCAGTCGCACTAAAATTTCAAAAGATTCGGACTCTGTACTTGGGGTATGTGATTGTGTTCATTGGGTATTCATTATCTTTGGTAATTATATTATGATATCAGAGTGATTTTCTAATATCATTATCTTAAGTAAGCTTTTGGTTATCTCTGTGTATCCCTCCTCCCCTTCTGATTTTTATGCGTCTCCATGTTCATATATCATATATGTAATATATTTGAGGTTTTCTTCCTACCTTTGCGTGCTCAAAAAGTTCTAGCCTCTCATTTCCTGCATTTAAGTCAAGTAAAGCAATTTGTTAATTTCAACCAAATGACTTCAGGGATTTCTCTCTATATGCTGTGGTTAACTCTTTATTTGGCACCTTCATGGATGGGACAGTCTTAGCTTTTCCTTCTTTTGTTTTCTAGCACTCACTTCACCTGTTGCAACAGATATCTGATTTATTTGATAGTGTAATTTCTCACTAAATTGATTCTGACATATGTTTCAAGTGTTTGCCTCTTTAAATGTTCCCCAAATATAGTATTTCTAAAGCCAGAACGGGCCTGATATTCCATTATGCTTCTTTTAGGGAATGACCCATTTGCCTTTTGGTATATTTACAGCACAAATATGCTGAGAACTTGCAACCAAAGAGCTCAAGATGAGCAGCCAGAAAACTTGGAGAAGAGCCCTATCGTGAATCACCAGGAATCTTCTTTAGGTATTGTGGAAGAGAATCTCAGTGGAACCTGCAATGGTGAGATTTTTCTCAAGTGTGTATTAGAAGGACCCCAAAAGTTATCTGACTTTGATGATCTAGTCGACTTCATTGAGTGCAAGGAAGGGAAAGATTATTCAGAGTGGTTGATGGATCGGGAAAAATTTCGACAAAGGTGGCAATATGAGAAAAAGGCAAAGTTAAGATGGAAGAGAAAACAAAGGATCCGGAAAAATAATCTTTGGAAACTGTAATTCTTCCCAATAGTTCTCTCTCTTGATGTTAATACATTTGCAGAATAGCTAATGTCCTCAAAAATTTGAACCACACACAGATGACTGTCAAACTTCACTTGTGTATCCATCCTGTAACTTTTCTTCTCAGCTTGGTAGGTGTAACTGTAACTTTTGTGTAGAAGTGTTATTTGAGTAGAACTTTTACAGAAGTGTGGAATCATGAATTCGTATAAAATAAAAAAGAGATCTGATAATTAGTGCTGTTTTCTTTCTGGTTTGGCTATTGAAGTTCCTATACGTTAATGAATGGAGTTCATTGAATCAGCTAGGTTCGGTGACCTTACCAAAACATCAGTTCTTGTAACAGGATTTCTGTAGCTGTTGGATTGAAGGTGTTCAAAAAGAGTGAAAGTGGAATAGATGGGTATATGAAGAAAAAGGCAATTAAAGATTTGATTAAAAGGGTATAGGTTAATTAAAGGCATACAAACAAATGCCGTGCTTCTGCTTATCCATATCTAAATGTGGAGTGACCTCTAATTTTGTCTTCAGAAACTGGCTTCCTGATACATTACACAGACAGGTTAGCAACTTGGGACACAAGGTCTGCACTGTTGGATCGACGATGACCAGAATGCCTCTGCTTCTTTTGCTGCTTCTGCTGCAATTGATGCTGTTGTTGTTGCTGCTGCTGCTGCTGCTGCTGCAATAGAAATTGAAGCCTACCTATCTCTCTCTCTAGCATATTCTGCTCGACTGTGTTCGCCACAAAACCATGCCATAAATACAACCAGAAATATTGAAGAGAATCATATAACTACTTGGAGTTAGAAATTAAGATCATCACACATTTACACTCACAGTGTTTTATGAGTTGCTCCTGAGACAAGCTATCCAAGCGCTGTTTCAGAGCTCTATTTTCCATGCCCAGTAGAAGATTCTGCTCCTCAAAGTATTCAAGTTGAGCTGACACTTGAGCTCCTTCTGCCTGTGAGCTCAAACATGCAAAAGAAGTGAAAACTTGATGAGCAGTAGCAGAATAGCTGCAAGAGCACAGTGCTTTTAAGTTTTAAATCTGAGCCTTGCCTGTAATATCTGCACGTTTCTTTCCAGGTCAGCTATGTATTGAAGTCTCTTCACACGTGACCTATGCGCAATTTGCCTACATTTTATAGAATCAGGATATAAGATAACATGGTGTACTGAGTAACATGAAGCTACTAGAGGTAATAGAGAAGTTCAAATCGGTTAAAATCAACAACAAATAATAAGAGAGTTAAGCAGTAGTAGATCAATGTTATGCAAACAAACAGAAATATTGATCCTGACAAATTCACTTACTGTTTAATGCGTTTTGGATCGGTCCTGGATGCAGAATGTTTATCATTTGAGCAGTCATTTCTTGCAGAAGACCCTTCTGCACCTTCTAGATATGGCTTTGCAGTAATTTTAGATGGCAAAGCACATAGTTCCCACGGAGCACATGGTAATCCAGGCATTTGAAGGTCATTTGAATAGATCAAGGACGAGTCACATGCTCTATTCTTATGTTTATCTAAAGAAAAAGTTTTTGTATGAAGGGGAAAGTGCCACAAATCTTCAGGCTGAACATTATTTTGAGATTGCCAAGAGGGTGCAGCAGGAAAACTACTAAAATTGAGTTCTTCCTTCCCAAATGACTCCGTTGCAATGTGAAAGTATGCAGCAGGGTCGCTGGATGAACGTCTGTGGCCTCCGTAAACAGGCGTCTCTGGCTCATTAAGGAGTTCATCAAGCCAAGCAGGTTGTTCCTCTAAAAGAATGCTATCAGAAGGCGTACGCTGGTGGTGTACATTTTCCCTTCTAGGATTGAGGTTACATTCTGCTTCAACTGCATTTGAGGGTGGAGTCCATTGAAAGGGGCATTTAGGTGGTAGCGTAATCTGTCTTGTAGATTTTGCAAAATTGTTCAACCCCCATGAACTTTCCATAACTCAAGAATGTAATCCTGTTTAACATGACAAAGAAAAGAGCAGAATTGATATACACAACACTTAATAGAATTATGATTCTTATATCATACTAGAAATGTCAATTCCGGTATCCCTCTCTCACTAACCCAAAAAAGACATGAAATGTAATTTTATGTAAATGAGATTGCATCCATATATATTCATCCAAAAATCATCTCAAAGGTACATACACATACATATATTTCCATACACAATCATCCATACCTTTACATGTGTTCATTATGAATAATCAAGAAAAAGAATAAAATTAAAAAAATTAATTTCTTTGAATGCACAACTTGACGTGGGAGAATGTCCTTAAGATCACTTGAAAAAGTTAATGACTAAAGTAAATCAATGATAAAGATTATTGTGAGAGATGTCCAAAAATTGAATAAGATACATATTAACCATTCATACCAAAAAAAAAAAAGAAGAAAAAAGAACAAAACACCCATAAATCCATTCGTGTACATTTAGATACATATATATACTTCTATACATATCATCTATGCATGTACAAATATACTTCTCTATACCATCCATACATGTAAAATTATGCACTTTCATATTTACAACAGTATCCGTTAAGAACATGCATGTATATATATATATATATATATATATATGCATCAAACGGTAGCGAATTTTTATTTCTTTGCTCAGCTCAAACATGAAGTGAATAGATTTGCAAAATATGATGAAAAGGAGAAACAAGAGAGGTGAGGAAGGAGGGGGTGTTGATGAACTACCGGAAGAGGGCATGACAGAGACGTCCGGATGGCGCCGCTAGCTATCAGGAAAGGTTGATCGGCGGCAGCCAACTGGGGTATTTTCGTGGAAGATTGGAACTTTAATTTGAACGGAGAAACGAGGGGGAGAGAGATGGAAGAAGAAGAAGAAGAAGAAGAGAAATAGGCAAAGCACAAAGCGCGCTTTGCGTTAACGATAATCTCTGCTCTTCTTCCATCAATCTTGGAAATGCATGGGAGGCCAACAACTCCGTAGCGGTGTATTTTTTTTTAGATTAAAAGTTTATTATTTTTGCGATAAAATAAAAGAGAAAAGGCTATTTGGTTCATGGAGGTAACTTGTATCAC